TTGTCATAACTTGTGAGAATGAAGTTTTGACATGAGATGTTAATAGTTTGTCACGTAGTTATAAAGTTACGTCACGAGGATTCAAAGTTGTGTCACGAGATGGTAGAAATGTGTCAAGAGATAATAGGTTTGTGCTGGTAGTTTAATTAGTTGTGTCATGAGATGTTAATAGTTTGTCACGTTGTTATAAAGTTACGTCACGAGGATTCAAAGTTGTGTCACGAGATGGTAGAAATGTGTCAAGAGATATAGGTTTGTGTTGGTAGTTTAATTAGTTGTGTCATGAGATGTTAATAGTTTGTCACGTTGTTATAAAGTTACGTCACGAGGAATTGAAGTTGTGTCACGAGATGGTAGAAATGTGTCAAGAGATAATAGGTTTGTGATGGTAGTTTAATTGTGTGAGAGACATTAATGACTTGTCGTGAGATTATAGAGTTATGTCGTTGGTGATTCTATCTAGTTTTGTCATGAGGTAATAAAAAACTGACACAAGACAATAGCTGTGCCATGGCACATATGGGTCACCGTATTAACGCCAGTACGCCACTGAGGGACTCGTCGCTACCGTAAAGAACTTGAAGATCAGGTTTTTGACACTCGTTATTGACTAACAAAGGTTAACTTTGTGCAAACTGTCATACGATTTTGAACAGTGAACAGTTCCGTTATTCACATGTACACGCGCGACTGTATGATTTTTGTATGTCTGAATCTTTGCACTTGGAGGGGCGTTTTTCGTTTGGCTTGTTGTTAAAGTTAGCTATTTCGTGTGTTGTGCCCTACAAGACAGCAAAGATTGTGTGTTTCTGTGTGATGCTCGTCTGAAGTGAATATTAATTAGAGGTTACATGTAATCAGTTAACTAGGGCTAGGGCTTTTACTGTTAGTATATTCATGGCATGTATAGTTTTATCAGGCCGCACGTTGTACTCAAGTTCATGCGGAATTGTATTGAGTTGTTGTACCTGTTAACTGTTGTTGTATTTATCAAACGAGATTTTTCATAACACTATAGTTATTGTTGTGTTTACGCTGCGTGTATATTATTGGACATTGTGTATTTCACTATAGAGTCTTACAACTTTAGTAATTATTGTGAAAAACATTGCTGTTAATTCTGTCAACCGGAAGTAATTATTATTGTGCGTATTACTGCCCATTTATGCAATTGTAGTGTTTATTATCATACTATTGTTAGTTTATACTCCAGTGAGCGAGGTGCCAATTATTGCGTTATGTACAAATAATTATGTGTGCCCACTGTTGACCTTGATAAATACTGAATAGAAGTTGTTGTTTACTTGACCTGTCTGCGTCGTTAATTAATGGTGTGAATGTCTCCTTGGTTATAGTATTCGATGTACGCCTTTACCTCAATTTACCACTGGACTGTCGAACTGTCTCGATCGGAGTAAGAGATCCCTGGTTATTACAGAGATACCAGTTAGTTGCCCTTCATATAAATTTTCCCTATCTGTCCACCTGTGATTTTAGCTTATCTAGTTTTAGCAACTTATGGGTGTGACAATAGCAACAAATGAATACAAAAATTTCTCGACACGAACTTGTTGGAATGTAACAGAAATATTCAAATTATATATATTCACTACTAATATTTCATGTACTATTGGGAATTTTATTTAATGTTATCGGTTTGTGGTATAAAAAACAACGGCGAACTATTGAGTACAGTGTACTATTCTGCATACAAAGACGCCTGTCATGTTATTTTATCACACCGTGTATCATCGGTGTTGTTATTTCCCTTTGCAGTGAGTAATTATGACAGCTAATGTAAAAGGCTTGTCAAAATAATTACTTAATGTGAACGTGACCAAATTGTGCATTGTGTCAGAACGTTCCATTCCGTGTATCAGTACTATTATTAATCGATCATCGTGTTACATAATACAACTATGTGTGTACATTTCAATTAAAAAATAATTGAATCGAATTATTTTTTATAATTTATGACATCAATACATTATAATACTTTATTATAATTTATTATTATAAATATACATTACACTATAATTTATTATTATTTATATGATATAGGCGAATATGATGCACTACGACGATATTCTGAAAAACATTATTGGGGAGTTGGGAACCCATCAAAAGATATGCTTCTTTCTACTTGGTATATCAACAGTACCGGTAATGCTTATCATCATGTCACCGGTGTTCCTGTTTCCACCAGTTGATACTTGGTGCAAGTATCCTGATAGTAATGAACTGAGACAACATATGTGTATAAACAATTCCACTGGTAACTGCGATGAGCTGGTGAAGAATCTAATGATACCAAAAGAGAAGAAGGTTGCAGGATGTGAAACACAATTAAAGAACGAACAATGTCATCGCTATAACATATCATTTGATTACGTTTCGTATTATCCCGAGGCAAATATATATAGCTATATTAATCAAACTGGTAAAATTGAATGCGATCACGGTTGGGAATATGACAGATCGCAGTACAAGTCAACAGTCACTGGACAGGTAAATACAAATTATGTTGCCTTCAATAAACAGTAAATTAAAAACAGTAAGTGTAATCATTATCGTTGAGAAATATGGTATCATCTTGTGTCACTGCAAATCACGTTAAAATTGTACATCGCGTTATCTATTTGACAGCAGCAAAATAATAAAAACAGCGTGCAGACTATTTTAAGAAAATTCACTAATGTTCAAAAAATGGTCGAATGTAGTTTATTACAAGGATCATTAATTAAGACGATAGTATATACATTGACTGGGCGGTAAGAACATTTTCAACAATGTTTTTTAACATTGTTCTCCAGATTGCTGTGCTTTCCACATTTCTGACTACGGTTCGCTGTATATAATCAACAAACCTCAAAATATGCCTAAGCTAATATATTGTAAATGTCACTTTCGTATCCGCAGTTTGATTTGGTGTGTGATCGATTTTATCTCAATGCATTAGCTTCTTCAATATTCATGCTAGGATTTCTTGTCGGTTCTCTTGTCAGTGGATACGTTCTTGACAGGTAAACATACAACATACTAGTTTATTGTCAGTATAATAAATAGATATGGTTGATAATAAAGGAAAATCTGAAAATATATTATTTGGGAGTTTGTTTTTAATGATCGTTGTTTGATTGCCACTGTTTAGTAGTTTTCTGAGTTGTTTCAACAATTTGAAACTTGTTGCTTTTACAGTTGATATTACATAAATGAAAAGGTCTCCTGAAAATGTGTAATCTAAATTTGACTAGGCTCAAGTATGTTATGTTTCCAGCTATAACACGTTTATTAATGTAACAGTCTATTAACATGTGATTATATTTCAGATTCGGTCGTATGAAAGGATTTATGCTGACTAATGGCGGAGTTATAATATTTGGTATCATAGAAGCATTTTCTCCTAATTATGTTGTTTTCGTCGTGGTCCGATTCTTTCTAGCAATGTGCACTATAGGGCGTTATATTTCATCTTTTGTCCTCGGTGAGTAAATATGCAATGACCTTTGTGACGATGAGCCATGTACAACCGTGTATCAGCAGCTTTGATATAATTAGTTAAATAGATGCTCGCTCGTTCTCGCAAAGCTAAATTCCGACTTTCATTAATGTTTTGTTCTGTGCTACGCTGTGTTAGTCTTTATTCACGATGTTATCTGCAAACACCTATTTTAGGAAATATGTTTGTTATTTGAAAATAACGCTTTGTCCTGGATTTTGTTAAAACGTTCCATGTCTGCAACACAACAACTGTTGCTGGTGCTTGTATTCATGTTGAAACTGACAGTAGTGATTCAGAGTCACGCGACACTGACAAGGCACCAATTAATTATATGTAATCCCATGATATTCTCTCTTAGGTTGACGTCAGCATACACGAGATATATTATACTATATTATTTAATATTTTGCCGTTTAGTGCTCGATATTGGTTGCATAGCAACACACACAAGTGAAATCAACCCAGTATAAATATAGAACGTATTTGTTTTCCCAAAATGTGTAACAGAAATAGCGCCATAGATAGCGCCAATCGTGTTCTAGGGAAACTATTTTTCATTGACTTATGGGTCTCTGCAACGTCCAAATTGAATATGATTATTACAGTAACGATTTTTGACATGAACTAATAATAAATTATTTATGTGTCACAATCTCATCTGTCATGAAGAATATAGTATTCCAATCCACAGTTTTCGCTGTTGGTGATGTAAACATTCGCCCACCAGGCTAACTGGACACCCTAAGTTTCTCATTGTTTGCAAAATATTCTGCCGTTTATAAGAAACTATACGATGGTTCTACAATAAAAATATTATATAGCAATGATGTAAAGTACAGAAATAATATTTTGCGGAGGGCAATTACAATGTCTAATTAAAAACATGTCTTTATATTCTTTGTTTTAGTTTGCGAATATGTAGGACCGACCAAGCGTACAATATGTGGGATGATATATCCCATGTTTCTTAGCACTGGTATTATGATACTTGCCTTAGAGGCATACTTCATACGCCATTGGTGGGTTCTGCAATTGGTCATAGTTGTACCATGTATATTGTCTATGAGCTATTGGTGGTGAGTAACTTATATTTCAATATTTGATTTATGTTTATTTATGTTTACTATATGTAATATAAACTCCTCGTTATTTATCAGTTCAAAGACGATTTTTTTTACATTAAAATTGTTAAATGCATTTCGTTGTTTTGAGTTAGATATGTTTACAAACTATATTGTACAAAAATCATAGCTTATGAATGGGTCCACATTTTTAATAAAAACAATACAGTGCCCGAAAACTTAAATATAACCTGTGGATTCTCTCAAGGTTCTATTTTACGCCCTATTTATTTCATTTATTTGATATGTAGTTCATCAACAGCATTATTTGCAGAAGATACAGACATATTCTAATTGTTCGACGCTATATTACCATTCATACGACCGTTTCAAAGGTGGATTTAATGAGGTGATTAATTTGCATAAGGCCAATAAATTAACCCTTCATGTTGGGTAAAATCAAATTCCGAATTTTCAAAATATCTAGGAAAGTAGTTAATATTGACAATATTTTATAATTAGATAATACGCCTTTAAAGATTGTTGATTATATCACATATCTATTTATTCATCTTGATTCAGCTTTCTTTTGGAAACTTCATATTAAATATTCTATTAAAATTACTCCAATCATAAGTGTGATATCAAAATTACGTCATTATGTACCAAAATACATATTACTGATATTATACAACTGTCTCATTCAGTCACATCTGGTGTATTGAATAGAAAATGGGGGGGGGCATATATAAGAGTCAATTTTGAACCCGATTTTCATATTGCAAAACAATTTTTGTTTTTCATTGTGATAATTATTTCAAGCTTTTTTGCATTCAGATACACTTTTTAAAAATCTTGGATTGTATATGAATTATGTAAATTGCAAACTTCGATTTAGAGTATGACAATTGAGCGACAATTAATTTGATTTTTTCATGCCGATTTCACATTCATACCACAAAAAATCAGTTCTCAAATCAAATTTGTTCGTTCAAAGGCCGAATTCCACTCACGGTAAACAATACAATATACAATGGTACTCTTGGTTTTGAACAAATTCAAAAGAATCCTGCAAATGCATTTACTAAATTGCTGGGGTGGTATATCAAATAGTTACATGTATTACCATTACTTGCCTACACAACAATGTCAAGATAAATATTACGAATCCGCTATTGTTTTAGAAGAGTCATTGTAGGGGCGATAATTGAAATAATTGCAGATATTTTTGCCACAATTGCATAAGTTAATTTACAGATGTTGATCTAACTGAATATATTTCTGCTATCTATTGTTTTGATCAAATCTGTTTCATTTTCTTATTATCATGTAGGATAACACCCGAATCCCCAAGATGGTTGATATCAAAGGGTCGCATGCAAGAAGCCGAAATGACTATAAGAAAGATTGCAAAAATAAACAACGTGACTGAGTATAGAGATCTGCTTAGTGAAGCCTTCCAGCTCGATGCGAAACTGAATCAGGTGATAACGATGTAGTCGCAAGACATTAGTACATGTTACCGTTACGGGCAATAGGTATGACAGATGACAAGAAAATGTGTTTGTTTTATTTTGACATAGGACGTATCGAATAAGCGGGACCAGTTAAACTATGGCGCAGTAGATCTGTTGAGATACCCAAATATGAGAAAAAAAACAGTAATAATGTTTTACAGCTGGTAAGAATATAACATACTATAGTATTACTTAGTCAAGTTGTTCGACATTTAACTTGCCTCAATTAAACCCTAAAAATATAAATATAAAATGATCCAAAAGCAGTTTCAGGAGACTTGTCATGCATTATAAAAGCTACTTACAACACTACCAATGTAAAATTAAGTGGAATTATTTACATTATGTTCTATCGACAGGCTGGAATTGTTAGTTAGCAGAACACGTTGTTGCATTCTTCTCTAATTTGATCTGGGTGTCCGAACACAAATCGAAAACAACAATATTAACACATTCATAATACGTCAATGTACTATAACCAAATACATGTTGTCGATTTTCATCTATCACACCAGGATCACTGCTACTCTGGTGTATTATGGGATATCGTTTGATACATCTAGCCTAGGTGGTAATCCATATGTGAATACTTTCATCTCTGGTGCGGTGGAAATCCCCGCCTATGCTCTTGGAATGGTCATGATGAAAACTCCTAGAATCGGTCGTCGTGGTTCGTTGTTTGCCCTCTTCACCTTTGGAGGCGTGGCATGCATTGGATTGGCATTCGTTCCAGCATGTGAGTTCATTGTGTCATGACTGTGTGCAATATCGTGCATTATTACGTAACATGGTTGGTAGTAATAATGTGTGTGGATTGTAAACAATATATATATATATTTGCTGTCCCAGATGAACACAGTTATTGCAAGTGTTTTATTGTTCGTGATGACGTCAAACCTAACATTTTTGTATTTATTTATATAGGCGGGGATTTAGTTTGGTTGGGGATAACACTAGCTATGCTTGGAAAGTTTGGTATTGCATCAGCGTTTGGAATGGTTTACGTCTATTCGGCGGAGTTATTTCCTACCCCACTAAGGTAGACAACTTGAATTTTCTCCGTTTTCTTATTTACCTGTTCTGCTGTCACATGTGAAGGACAACATAAAGGGTTATATGGGACCCCCGTCATTTAATAGTTAAACTTAGATGTTCAGATGTATATATGTAAATGTTCGTCATCAACTTGTTAAAACTCCACAGGACAAGTGTTGTTAAGGTTACGTAGCACAAGCATTGTTTATGACTCATTATGATAAGTATTTAATTAGTACACCTGCCGCATACTGGAAGTTCCACACATTTGAACGTTGGCACTTTACTTTGCCATTTCCGCATACAAAGTCGCTGGTTCGAACAATTTACAGCAAGTCTCAGAAGTATTGGGGCAGCCAATTTGCAAACTCGCTAGCGAATTGGCTAACTGCTTTAGTTTTGACTGAACGGTTGGCTTTCGAATCTCGCTGACGCTGTCCTGTGGTCACGCCCACTCTGGGTGAGTCATACTTTAGTGGGATCACATGGAGTTGGACAAACTTATGTATTTTAATAAATTATTAAATAATAAAATGTTATATAACTTTTCTTTTACCCCTCCCCCTTTCCTGGTATCAATTTCAAGTAATCACTGATCTATGTTTATACCACTCTTTCCTTTATCACAATCTTTGTTATGCGCTAATGTTATATGCAAATTTTAACGCGCGATGTAGACACACCCTATTATAATAAAATATCCCAAGGGTTGAAACGCGCCAGGACTGTAGCATGAGCACAACCGTAAAGCGGGTGGGCATTTAATTTATTTATGAGATGCATTAATAAACAAGAAATGCTGCGCGCGAAATTTTAAATCCGGTGAATGTAATCTCTGACGCGACGCAACTTCAATGAATCAGTGACTCTTCTGTAAAAATGCTTTCTACTTCAAATGTCGTTCGCGTTGCTCTTCGAGATCTTTCTAATGAAAATAATCAAAATAGCAGCCGGAGGGGGGGGGGGTAAAAGAAATGTTATATAACATTTTATTATTTAATTATATACCCTATATATAAAATATGTTTTTGAAATGCAGTCCCTCACCCCCTTGGCCATTTTCGCCGATTTTTAGTCACCAGAGTGATTCACGTCCAAAATTTGGGTTCTCCGGGCGTCTCTAATAAATACTCTATCTAACCGCTGGACTGAATTAGCTAAATTATGAAAAATTCAAAGAAGATTGGGCGAAAATCGGTCGTTTTCGGCCTCAACGTTTTTTTGCTCGGAAACGCAAGGGCGATAAGACTCGATTTTCAAGAACGCAGGTCGCTCGGATCGGACGGTTTCTATTGTTTCGAGTCTGTTGTGTGTCTAGAAACATAACAACTTTGTTTTTTGTTAAATTTAGAACATGCTCTGTTTTAATACAGGATTTTGATGTGCAAATCAAACAATTTTATTAGTTCCTTATTGTAACGTCTCCCATATAAATAGTCTTCTACTCCCCAGAATTTGACAATGGTACTAGCCCAGAATTAACTTTCTGTTCAGCGCGTCTTTGATTGTAGCAATGTTTACGCCACTGTACAAAAATACGCACACTCGCGAATTTGGCAACGTTTTAGGATAGCAAATAGGTGGAAATGCCAGTTACTCATGAAGATTGATGATTCGACTGCTGGTCGGGATAGATGTATTTAGTGTTTATTTCTATGCAATATGTCTACACATGCAGCTATTCTGAATTTCGATGTGTAAAACTATATCCCTGCTGTGGACGGCGACGGCCGACAGATTGTTTTGGTTTTGCGGCTTTCTTGGCATGGGCAACTGATTTTTAGGTTTCTGTTTTTTTAATATTCTGACGTTTACTTGGTCGTATTTTGTATATACCACTCAGACGCTGACAACAAGTGAGTAAAGGGACCGGGACATAGTCAACAGGCCCCAGAGAAAGCGTCATCTTACAACATTAATGAACGAAATTTACAATCTCATTCTTTCGAACAATCTGATATTTATGCTGGATAACAAAGTATACAAGTACTGTCTACGATATGCTGCAAAATGAAAATAACATACCTATTTAACCGTTGTTGTTGTTTTTTTACAAAATAACAAGAACACAAAACAAACAACTGACAACAATCGACAAAACAAAAACACTTCACAGTCACTGTAGCCACACCAGTAAGAAAAAGATACTGTGGAACTCATTACA